TGCAATGCACCCACAAAGGAGCTCCCACTCGTATAGGTTCACACACATCTTTCCCCTCACAGACACACACTCACAGACAGATACATTCAGACACACATGCACACACACACACACATCTCACCCCATAAACACACCGACACAGATCCCACCCTACGCATACATACAGACACACACACACACACACACACTCACCCATCAAACACACACGCAGCTTTTAAAGAAATACATCTGCGATTCATTAGTGAAAGTGAACGTAATTGAAACCTCTGGACGGTATCAATAGAGGAAACCTTTGTGTTCCACATAAAAATACGTTTTTAATTTGGAATAATGTGGCACCATTTTGTTACCTGTATTCACAAGGCATGTTGTAGTACATCTTGATTTTCTACCCAAACCAACATATATATTGCGTTAATGTAACATAATCCTATATTGGCATCAAATTGACACAGTATAACTTGAGTTTAAAGTGAGAGATGTGTGTATTATGGACAACAACAACAATAGGCGTTAGTCAGCTAGATGTCAACTTCAATCAGATAGTCTTTACTGTAATTTTTAACAGTAGCAGATGTTAAAGCGAACTGTGTTAACTCGACTTTCAAAATTGAACAGTTTGTGTGGTGATGACTTTATATTATATTGTCTCATCTCAGTGAAGAGCTCTGATATTCTGGTGAACAGAGCTTTGTCAATGCATGCAAGTGCTGCATATAAGTTTGGAGCCAGTGGTAAATCTGGGATATAGTATCAGCATTGCGTACTGATGTCAGCCCAGGTTATATATTATAATTGGGGTTCAACTCTGGCATCTGTTCAGACTTCTGATCTTAACTGCAGTTAACTTCACTGAAACTGTGCATAATTTTACCACCAAATACATTACCAAATCTGTTCCTTTTGGTTATTCCCAGGACAGATTGTGGTCTTGGAGCTATTTTTAAAAAAAAAACTTTCTCCAGGTTTCAGAATACACTTAAAGAGAGAGACATTTAAGTAGAACAACATCATTAAATTCTTGCAAAATTCATCTGGTTTGCTTCCTCCCTCTCGGCTTTCAAAACCAGTCTTTTAAAAATTATCTTTGGCCCCATCTCCCACCCAGCTCAGGCTCTTGCTCTCTGTAAAGTGCTTTGAGATGTTCTCCCTGTGTGAAAGGAGATCTGTCAGTGTGACTTGTTGTATTATTTATCGTTAGAGAACACGCCACAGCTAAGCGTTCTGGGAAGCTACCCTGTATGAGCAGTGCTATATAAATGCAAGTTGTTGTTGTTATGTATTAGTTATCATTGTTAGTAGCAAACCTCCAACTTCCTCCCCAAATAAATGTTCCATCTCAGCGGTGATGCTCGGCAATGTGCATTACTTCCAGTTCAGGGGCAAATGGCCCACTGTCGTTGCCATTCAAGTCGGACAGTCTTTCAACTGTTTACAATAACACCAAGAAAGTCACCACCAAATAAACACATCATTCCCCTCTTCCCACAGGCTGTGATAATAAAAGGCAGGTAAAATCATGTACATAAATGTCTCCCCGTTTTCCTTGCGTTTAAAGTTTACTGCTTCGGAGAAATGTTTGTCATAATCATCAACCTACTCGCAACCAAAACAATTTATTGCATTTGGCAGGCAAATGCACAACCTAAGGGGAGCAAAATTTCCTAGTATCTATAAATGTCACAGTTTTATAGATTAAGATAATACATGTCTGAACTTAGTAATCAGAGTAGACAGGCTCTAAAACGCTGTCTTTTGGAGCATTGCAAAAAGTGGGGGAGGGTCAACACACAGAAATGATGTTTCATCCAGTCTCTGCATAATGAACAAACTATCAATAACATTACATCAGAGACAGTGGTACGTTAGAGAAAAAGGAACCAGGGCGCCTCCTCAAGATCTCTAGAGAAATTAGGTTGAGGTTATTCCTTCAGGTGTCACCTCTCCTTGGTTCACAGTTAACTTCAACAGCTCACGAGGCTATTTGAAAGATCCAGCTCATTAAATTGGAAATGGAGAAGTCTGGCTAGATTCCTCAGAGGTTGAGGTGGGGGGGGTGGGGAGAGGCGGGGTAGAGAAATCAAGGCCGATCCCCAAGGCTAAAGCGATGAACTGCAAGGAATGCGTAACTAACTTATAAAGTCTCGAGTTGAGGCATTTCGGAATGGATCTCACAAAGGTGTATCAGAGGCAAAAAGGGATTTTGAAAAAGAAACAATACTTTCAGATAGGCAACTAGGCAATAGGGCAAAAGAGCACAGGTTCAAAGTTGTGAAGGGCAAGTTTTATCCCAAAAGCCAGGAATTTAATCAAGAGCTCGGAACGAGTTACCGAGAAGGTGGTCGAAGCCAGGACAGTGGACTTGTTTATGAACCAGTTTCATGAACCAGTTTTATGAACCAGTTTTGGTGCTATATTGAGAAAATGCTGAGGTTGATATTCCGAGAGGGTGAAATGGGCCAAAGAGCCTTCTCCATCCAGAATCTCTCTTGTGATCGCTTGCAATCTGATCTCTCGAGAGCCTAAGCACTCAGACTTTCAGAGATGGATAGTCAAGGTGCACGCAGCATCTATCGCACACTGGAGCACCGTGAATACATGCAAACCTCACTCGCTGTGTGTTGCGTGGCTCCAGGTCACTCCGTCCACATTTGCATTTCTTGCTGTCACTTGAAACTGCAGACGTTTGTTACCAACAAACAGTGAAGGTTCTGTGCACATAGCTGAGCTTTGTGCCTCTGTGTTCGCGACATCTGTATTTTATGCCAAACTGAGAAGGACACAAAAAAACTGGCAAAGTTTGATTTCTCCGTGGCCTCTGCCTACCACCTCCCCCTCATTAACAATCACTCACAGTCACGGCAGTCAAGTGATAATAGCCTAAATTGTTTAATAAAAGCATTTGGTGCGTTCTGCATGTGTTAACGCCCACACAGCATCACTGGGTAAAAACAGATACTGTCTGACAAATGCTATGTGCAAATAAGTTCTGGAGGGAAGGAGGGAGGGAGAGAGAGTGGGAGTGGGGAGGGCTAGAGGCAAGCTTCCCACTAACATTCTTTGAATACTGTATTGCATGGTTGTAAATCTGAGTGATAGATTACAGTTTAGCCTCGGGCTACGTGAAGAAGGCACTCCGAAATCCAGTAAAACCTGTTCTTCCTGCCTGTAGCTGAATTGACGCTAGTTTAAGTGGGACATATGATACCAGCTTCTCTCCATTTTATCCACTAATCATCCATGTGGTTGCTTCAGGCAGTGACTAGTGACATAGAAGGGGCTTTATTTATCGCCCCCAATTCTACCCTTCATCCTTTGGGTGTGACATTAAACCAAGATCTCACCTGCCTGTTCAGGTAGCCTGTTCAAGAGTCTCGTAGTCCTATTTGAAAAGAGAATGGTAGCTTCTCCTAGTCCTGGCCAACAATCCTCCAAATAAAATTGGTCACTTACTTCATGGCTGTTTGTGGAACATTGCGGTGTGCAAACTGGCTGTCTACAAAATACACAGTCACTACACTTTGCATTAATTCCTGTGAAGATCATAGAGATGTACGCCCAACATGAAAGGTGCTTATATCAAATATAACAACACATTACATTTGTATAGCGCCTCAGGAGAATATCCTAAGGCACTCAACAGACAGGATATAAGGATTATTACTACCCTGTCTAATCCTTGGCTGGCCTCCACAGATGGCTGGATGCAATGAAACACAGACCTTTTTGGGGTTGTCGATAATTTTAACTGTGATGGGTGCCTTTAATTGGAACTATTTAATGTAGAATCAGCATTGTGAAAATATGGACTGGAGTCTTGCTCTTACGTTCCTGGACTGTTGTTGGGGAAGGAGTTTGGAGATGTATGTTGAAACCTTTCTTTGTCGGTTGTATTGTATCAGTGTTTTGGCTGTGTGCCATTTGCAATAGTTGATTACGGTCATGATTGAACAATCTTCTCTCAGCAGTAATGGGGAACACACACCTCACACACGCACATACATACACACACATCTCATAGAGCCAACAAGATGCAAAGCTAAGGAAGGTCCTTCTCTCTACCCCAAAAAGAGCTGATTAGCATCTTTGGCCATAAAGGGAAATTCCAAGATATCACAAAGAGTGGCCCACATCGCCAATGGCAATGAATAATGTTCACTGAAATTTTCCCTCTAATGGTGTACTCACCCTAATCTGCTCCTACAGGGCTGAATTCCTCAGGATCTCTGTGAATGAGATTTAAGAATAAGAATAAAAGAGACTTTAATTCCAGTCCCGGTATCAGAATTTATAATGGTTATTTAAATACAAGTGCAAGCTTAATGCAAATGGTATAACAGGTTCTATTGTGGATGTCACAGTATGGAAAAGAATGGCGATTATATGACTACGTCCTGTGGTTAATGATTATTCGGTCCTGGACTCTTCTCATACTTCATTGTACTTGTGCCCAAGGCTAAATGCATTTAGATGTTGCCTTAGGCTGTCTGTATGTGCACAAACCTACAAGGGTAGTGGCAATATAATAATAACAATCCTTGCATTTGATATGGTGCCTTATCACATCTTCAAGACATCTCAAAGCACTTCACAGAATATACTGTAAAGTGAATTGACTGTATATTTTGCGGGTGAAACACAGCAGCCAATTCCGCACAGCGGTGTCCCTCAAACAGTGTTTTTTTGAAAGAATTATTACCCCCAAAAAGCGATTCACCAATCGACTAACAAACGGGTTCCTACTACTGCTAGGTAAACAGAGGGGTGTGGAGTAAGGAAACTTGCCCAACATTTCGCCCTGCCGGGAATCGAACCCAGGTCTCTTGCTTGCGAGGCGAGCGCTCTAACCACTGAGCTACAGGGTTCCATATATATATATATATATATATATATAAATTGTGGGCCAGAAAGTTGTAGAGGGTGGGAGGATGTGTCATTGTGGTCCGTATCGAACAGCGGTGTTAATCTCTCTTTGTTTGTCTTTGCTTTGGATGCACCAGGCAACGCACTGATGGGAAACTCATCAGCGACGTTCATGGGAAGTTTCCTCGCCAGCAGTTTGGGGTCAGCACCCGCCCATCCTGCGGGACCCACGGCTTCCCCCTCCGAGCCCGCCTTTCGAAGCCCCCACTCGGCCACGTCGCAGATCTGGTTTTCCCACTCCCACGAAGGTAAGAGACATGAACGAGCGGCAACCCAAGGGGCTTCTCTAATCTTGTGCGGGGTCCAAATTGTGGAGATTCGTTTCCGCTTCAGCTGAAGCAAACCAGTGTCCGTCCAGCACTTTGTAGGAGCCTGGGAGGTAAGATGTTGGTGGCCCTGAGCTTATATGTAATGGTCTTCAGTGAGATTCCCACACGCATTCACAACAGAGACTGAGAGAAAAAAGGAGCTGGAAGATTTATGAGTGGGATTGCAGCGTGGGCTGCTGTGAATTGTGGCTCCTGTTAGTGCTTTGCTTTTCCCCCGATGACTGAACTTCTCCGGTGATGTCACACACAGCAGTGTCCAAGAAAGGGGGGAAACAGACCAACAGTTTACTGCAGCAGGAATGCCACAAGGAATGCAAGTTAACCTTTCCTTTAGAAGTTTTATTTTCAAACAAGTTTTATTGTTACAATGGGAAAAACTATCCTGGTTTTACAAATGCAACAATGAGTGTAAAACGGACTTTACTGTGCCCCGAAGCTTTGGAACTCTCTCCCCCAATCCCTCTGTCTTGTCCCCTCCTTCCCCTCTTTTAGATCACGACTGAAGTCCTTCCTTTTCGACCGTGCTTACGGTCACCTATTCCCTCCCCGCAGCTCGGCATCAGACACCGCCACTGTTAAGGGTTCCGAGACACTGACCCTCGTGAAGGCCTCTAGATAAATGCAAGTTGTTATTGTTGTTGTTGAAGGGCCCTTTCTGATCAAAGTCTTTCCTTATGCCCATGGAGCACAAAAGCATAAGTCAAGCAGAGCATTTAGATAACTTTTACTCAAATTCGCCAAAACATTTGAGAGTGATGATAAGTGTCTAGTTTGCAGTATTTTTTAACGGAATCCTTTACTAACGGAATCTGAATTACCCAAATGGGGACTCCTTCCTGTAACTGGAAGTAGGTAGAGCTGAAACATGATCCAGTGCGTTCTAGTTGTGGAGTGGAGTTCCTACAGTGTTAACAGAAGTGGATCTGTAACCAGGAATTCCACTGAGAAATACTGTCCCAATGTCAGAGCGCTGAATTCTCTTCCTTCTACATCAACACTGCTTATAATAACTTCAGTGAGACTGGTTGCAACCACTCCATTAAGACTGGGCATAATAAAGTTCAGTACTCTTCTTCCAATCGTGATTTATGTCGTTTCGAGAGAAATTAACAAACCACTGCCTGGAATATGTCAAAGGTGCGTTTTCACCGCATGTGGAAATGCTAACAATTCACCACCAGGATATGTTAAAGCAGCCAAAATCAATATTTGTTTGTGTTCTGAATCGTAGAAAGTACAAATTTCACACACAGAAAAAAAGGGGAGAGAGGGTTTTTGCCCCAATTCTTGCTGAATAAGAGTTTACGTGTGGCTGTGCTGATACAGTATGCGATGTAGTTTAAGAGGTCAGCTGTTTTCAGTTTCTGTACTAGATTCTCATATATGTAGCCAGAAATATTCCCTCTGGGATGTTTTTAACACATCGGTGACGCATTGAAATCTCATTTGAGGCCAATCAAAAGCCCATTTATCTTGATGCAGGCTAATTTTGTACCGACATGAGATCATGTTGGCATTCTTCAATCCTGCCACTTCTTTAAATGTTTCTCTCGAGCCTCCGCAATCTTCCCACTCGTTCAGTCTTCGCATATCTGGCAAAACTCATTCACAATTCATACAGTGATCGATATCAGGCAGCGAGAAAGAACGAGAAACATTGTAAAACAGGGAGGCCAAATTATCCCTTTATTAGCAAGTTTGAAAGCCTTTCGCACACCATGTCCTTGAAGATTTAGTTTTGCCTTATAGTATACAGTTTTCTACTGTATATAATAATTGTTTGTGTGTGCGTCTGTGTCTGTTGGTGTTATTCAGTGGTTTTTGCTGGAGATTTTGATAAAAAGTATGTCAAAACCCCCAAGTTTCATGAGCGCCGCAATTGTACCATGTGATTCTTATGGTTAAACCGATGTGAACGTCCCACTTCCTGAGACGCCAACTGACTTTCCGAAACATTACCCGTCTAGCAGAGTCAAAGGGACGCTTCACAAGGAGAGACGCCGCAAATGTAACTGCCTTGGAATATGTCAAAGGTGCGTTTTCACCGCATGTGGAAACGATAACAATTCACCACCAGGATATGTTAAAGCAGCCAAAATCAATATTTGTTTGTGTACTGAATCGTAGAAAGTACAAATTCACACACAGAGAAAAAAGGAGACGCAAATACAATACAATATACAATACAATATAATTTAGAGTGTTCTTTCACGTCGGGAGAACATCCCCAAGCGCTTCACAGTGGGGTTGGGGAGGGGAAAAGATGACCGAAAGCGCGGTTAAAGGAGTACGTTTTGAGACGAGCCTTGACAGAGGGAAGGCAGCGAGGGACTCTGTGATGGAGTTCCATAGAACGGTGTACATTTTTAGGTAAATTCCCAATTAGGATAGAAGATGACGCCCATTTATTTTCATTCGATGGGCCTAAATTCATTGGAATTGTTCTATAGTAAAATTAAGTTGTGACGTGACTATTTCCAAGGAAGCAGCAGTGGGCCAGGCACACCAGAAGGAAGACAATGACAAGTTTCCCCTTTACTGTTCAGTTTCACAAATTCATACTCAGCCCAGCTGTGATCTCTGTGTCCTCGCCCTGGTTTGTAAGTACAAGCAATAAATCACAGTACTTCCAAAGTTTTTGAGAGGACCTTGCATCATGAAATAAAATCAAATTGGTCATCCACTTCACAGCTGTTCGTGGGACATTGCCTTGCGCCACTTTGGCTTGCCGCATTCACCTACAAGCACGCGGTTGCTACACTTCACAGTAAAATCCTGCTTAGCGCTTTGAGACGTGTCGACACCGCGATAAGGTGCTACATCAAACGCAAGGGTTATTTTTCTATTACTCTGTGAGAGCATTCTCTTAGCTGCTTTTCGTATATTTGGAAACGTCTTTTAGAAGAAATCATTCTTGTGCGGCTGAAACATAAAATACTGTATTCTTGGAAACACAAAGGCCTAGTAATAAAGCATTTCATTTTTGAGATTGAATTTTAGGTGGATAAGTGCGATCAGCAGACCCCCTACTCAACACACACACACTGTAAATTGGAGCATCGTTCTGTGTAACTGAGCTTTGATACCAGTGTGGGCGTTAATGAAAATCTTACCTTGTAATCTCCTATTGTTAAAGGTCACTATTAATTGTCCTGACAGGACACAATGATTTATAAAGCGTCACCACATTGACCGAGTGGATATAAACAAATATTAAAATATTAATATTGTTTTTTTCTATTTCTGCTAAAAGTGCTTTTTAAATCACTCCAATCAAACACGACGTCAGAGGGTAAGACACTACTATTTATCGGAAGGTTTTGGTGGGAATATTCTCCTCACGTACTTTGAGGACAGACAATTAGCTCAGGGTGATGTTGCAGTCATCGGGATTTTCCAGCAGACAGGCCCAGTTCCTCCATCAGGCCTCACCCGCCTCCCCTATTATCTCCCCTGCAATGCTGGTGTCTTGCCTCCTTCAGCTTGATCACACCACCACAGATGCTCGTGTTACAACGCGAACATTTACAATGTGTTTTTATCACATTGGCTTGAAGCATTGTGTGCCATTTCTAAACCACTCTTCTCTCTATCTCTTTCTTTTCCCCTCCTCCCCAGCCAAAATAACCCAGGTACTCTCCTGCTCCTACAGTGTAGTTCTCCCTTCATGCCCTCACAACTCCCTACCTGTCCAACTTGCTTCTCCACCTCCCTTCTGCCCACTTCACTACTCGCTGACCTGCTCGGCTGGCTCCGGCCTCCTCTTCATCCCTCAACCCCTCCACTCCACCATAGGTGGCCAGTATACCCTGAAACTCTGAAACTCTCTTTCTCAATCCCTCCGCTTTGTCCCCACCCCCACTTTCAAATCCCGCCATAAGACCTTCCATTTTGTTCTTGCTCATGGTCACCTCCTGCCTCCCTCTCCCCCTGGCTTGGTGTCAGACTGTGTCAAGTGTTAAGTCCTCCGGGATGCTTGAAGGACGCTGTATAAATGCAAATTGTTGTTGAGACTCTTAGTCTGCACCTATTACTAAGGGCTCAATCTTATTCCCAATCAGATAATTTGCCCAGCGTCTCTTTGAAGGACTTAATCGATCCAGCATGTTGGTACCTGGCTTAACATAAGCCCTACGCTCACAGATCAGGTCAAACAGTTTGCATCTACATTGTCTATTTCACTTAGTATTATAAAACCCCAACTGATGCCTCGTTCTTTCCTCCAAGGAAAACAAGTTCAGCCCCGCAAACCTCTCCTAATTTAGAGCATTGAATCATCCTTGATGCTCTTCTTTGAATCTTCTCCAGTCTACTAAAGACTTATTGAAGGTAGGGTGCCTCGAACATTCTCAATGTGGCCTCGTCAGTAATTTATACAAGGATTGAAATAACTTGCTTTGACTTATTGACAAAAGCCCCCAAGACACAGCCTGGAATTTGATTAGCTTTGTTGGTAACGGCTTGATATTGACTGCAAATGATCAGTAATTCCACTTAAATCCTTTTTTCCACCTTCTCCATTCATTGTGCACACATGGTTCATGTTTCCTGTTCCAGTGTCCCATTATCTTACATTTATTCATGTTAATATTCATCTGCCTCTCCTTAGGCAGTTTCCTAAATTGATTCAGATCTCTTTGAATTCTCTTGATCGCTCTGGTACTTGTCACCTGATCACATAGATTGGTCTCCACTTTAATATTATAACCATGTGCGAGGCACTAACTCCGAATCATCCCTTGGATGGTGTGAAGAACAAGAGGTCCCGAACTGTGCAGGTCCACCAGTCACTGGCCTCTCAGTACGGCTTTCCTCACTTACACCCCACGTTTTGCAACAAAAAATCGCAGCCAGTATTACGCCAAGTCACCCACCGCCAAACCTGCAGCATAGACTCAGCTCACAGCTGAACAGAGCGC